CACACACACACACACACACACACACACACACACACACGCACGTAATTTTTATAAATCTGGAAATTTTACCTGTGCTGGGCCATAAGGTAGGTCTCTGTGAACTTGTAATTGTTCAAATCAGATAAACTAGCTCTTGATACTGTACACACTGTGAACTGTTTATATACAAAGTAACAAGCATATCGCATTTCATGGTTATGGATATGTATGTATTACATGTATTACATATGCATTCCTTTGGGGTAAGAACATTTAAGATGTACTGTCTTAGCAAAATTCAGGAACATGATACATCATTATTAATGTGGCCGCAGCACTGTACTTTACCTCTCTAGGACTTACTTGTTTTTCTTCAATTTTTTTGTTCATTTTTATTTTATGTGTTTGAGTGTTTTGCTGCATGGATGTCATCATATGCACCACATACTTGTACCCATGGAGGCCAGAAGACAGCGTTGGATCCCCTGGAACTGGAGTTACAGATGGTTGTTAACTACCATGTGGGTGCTGGGAACCAAACATGGGTCCTCTGAAAAATGAGCCAGTGCTCTCTGCACTGAGCCTTCTCTTCAGTCTTACTAGCTTATTTTGTAACTGAAAGCTTATGCCCACAGACCAACACTCCCATTTACTTACCACTTTTCAAAGTTCCACAAGTTTAGATTCCGTGTAAGTGAAACTATGGATAGCTGCATTTCCGTGTCTGGCTTATTTCCCTTAACATAGTGTCCTCCAGCCGGGATCATCTGTGCTGTTGGACATGTCAGGATTTCCTTCTCTGTAAAGCTGAACAGTAGTCCATCCTATGTATGTGCCTGATTTTCTTTAAGATCCATCTGTTGGTTGAGTCTATATCTGGGCCATTGTACACAACCTTGTAATGAACATGGGGGTCTGACCTACTGATTTCATTTCCTTTGCACATAGACCCAGTAGTGGGATTTCTGCTAGATCAAAATCCAATTCATCTATTTGTGGTTCTTTGGGCTTTGATGGATCTGAATGCACATCTCTTCAGATCTGTCACTGTTTCTTAATACATTTTATTACGTGTGTGTGTGTGTGTACAAGTGTACACGCAGCATGTATGGTCAGAGGACAACCTGTGGGAGTTGGTTCTCTCCTACCATGTGGGTCCCAAGATTGAACTCAGCTCATCTGTCTTGGCAGCAAGCACCTTTACCCACTCAGCCATCTCCGCGGCCCTGTTCTTTCTGTGCCTTCTGAATCTCTCATAAAGCACACGTTGGTTGCTCGACGGTGTCCCTACGGCACCTTCTCGCCCTTTCTTCTTGATCCTCTGATCAATGGCCTGCTATCAAGCTGATCCTTCTGTTTGGCTGGGTCTGATGTTGAAACTATTCTTTTTCATTTCAGTCACTGAGTTCTGCCCTGGATTTATTTGGCTTTCTCCTGGTTTTTATCTTGGTTACACGTCTGCTCATGGGCAGTTTTTCTGATTTTGTTTAGTTATCCACACTCTCGTGGGGTTCAAGGAGCTTCTTGAAGATGATTGTTTTATCAAGAAGTCCATATATACCCTGTCTTTAGGGTCAGTTACAGCTTGCTATGCTGCTCTTATGATGGTGCCGTTACTACCTGTTCCCTGGCTGCCACCCTGCTCAACCCACAGGCAAGGTTTTAGCAGCAAAATGGTGGCTGGTTTTTAGTAGCAAAGTGGTAGCTGCAATTCTGCGGGAGCAGCAGCAGGTGGCGTCCCCCAGTGTGCCAGGCAGGCCTCCAGTATCCTTGGGCTCTAACGAGGGTTAGAGGTTGTACAGCCTGGGAAATTGAGATTCCTCCATCTTTGGCTGTAGCTTCCAGGGAGGCCTAGGTATCAGGATCCCACAGCCCCTAAAGGCAGCCAGTGTTACTGCTCTCAGTCTGGGGTCCGAGACCCTTGACCCTTAAGCCTTGACAGCTCTCTGGAAGTCCGCCAGTGACCAGGGCCTTCTGGGTCTCTCCTCTGAGGCTCCTCACACACCTCTATCCTCCTCCATCTCAGCTCTCTGCCTCTTATGGCCTGACTCCTCCACTGCCCTCCTGCCCTTTCTGCTCTCAAACTGACATCAGCAGCTGGCCACGCTGCCCATCTCACAGTCTGTGGACTGCTCAGCCACACATGGCTGCCGGCTCCGTTACTGACTCAGCCCAGCCTACTGAAAGGAGGTAGTGAGTAGTCTTTCCTCACTAGAAGCTCTCAATTGTGCCCAATGTTGCCTCTCTCACGACAGGGCTGAGGGAGGTTGTCTCCCAGCTAGTCGACTGAGCCAGAGCATTCTGCCTACTTAGCCTGGACGGGGCGGGGGGGGGATGTTTAGATCAACCGCAGCCTTGGGTCTTTAGCACCTACCACAGTAGTCCCTCTGGCCCAGGTAGAAACGGTGGCAGGTTCATCTGGAGTTCACTGAGGCTTGTGAACAGCAAATCTAGTTTAAACTGTTCCAAATAGCACAGGCTGAGGCCATGCCCTGAGGAGCTGGAGCCATCCACTGCCATTTTTGTGTGGCTTTCTCAAGACATACAAGATGGTGGGCTGCGGTTTGACTGACAGTCCTTTTGCTCAAGGCAGGGAAGTAAGGAAGCCCAACGGCTGCCAATTGTGGAATCAAATTGTCCCATGCTCCAAGCTCTTTGCCTATTGACAGAAAAATAAACTCCAGAAGGAGGGCTAATGATATAGGTTAAAGAATGTATCAACACTAATGGAGATCTTAACAGATTTTGATAGTGGTTAATGATGCTTAACACCTGTGGGTACCCAGGGGGAGGTGGGTCCTGTTTCCCTGATTTCTAGCAGTTCTGTTCCCAAGTCTGAACTTCTGAAGAGGCGGGATCCTCCTAACTCTTCACAGACTGGTTTCGGCAGCGACTGCCCATTACCAGGTGCACTGGTTGGTCGTAATTGTCAATTTGACAAAATCTAGACTCACCCAAGAGAGTGGCCTCCAAGCACACCTGTGAGGAATTATCTAGATTAAGGTCAGCCTGAGAACATCTGTGAGGGATTATCTTTTATGTTCATTAACGTGGGAAGATCCATCTTAATTGTGGGGGAAGTTCCCCGGGCTGTAGAAAATAGAGGAAGTGCTAGCGACTTCTGAGTACCCTGAGTACAAGGTTCCCAGGAGGGAAAAGCCTGCACCTTTAAGTGACCCTCCTGCAAGGCTGGTCAACTGCTTTGAATGAGAATGTCCCTCATAGGCTCCAAGGAGCCAGACACTTTATCACCAGTCGGTGGCGCTGTTTTGGGAGGTCATAGGAGGTGTGGCCATGCTGGAGGAAGCTCATCACTGGGGGCAGACTTATAGAGTTCTTAAGCCTTGCCAGATCTCCAGTGGCTCTTGCTTCCTGTGCCTGTGTGATGATGTGAGAGCTCAGCTTCTGCTGCTCCTGCTCCGGCCACCTCCTGCCACCGTGCCTCCCTGCCATGACAGACGGTAAGTCCCCTGGAACCGTAAGCTGGAATAAACTCTTTTATGATTTCCCTGGATCGCACGGTTTTGCCACAGTGACAGAAAACTAATACAGAGCTTCAAGGATTGTGGAGATTTTGGAATGTGGCAGGTCCAAAGCCTATTTGTAATTTATTTTGGGCCATCTGTAGCCCCCTAAACAGCTTTGACCTACAATTCTTTGACCACCTGTGTCAGACCCAACATCCTGTGACTAACAGACATAAACCTTTAGACTGTGTTAAGAAAACTTTAGCTTCCCCCAACAAAAGGCTGAGTGTTATTAGCTAGTATCTGAGGCCTGTAGCAGAGCTCTCCCTGGTTTGCTATGACCTGCCTACCAATGTGCCCATCAATGTATTGGAACTGCATTGATTTATTTGTTCTGTTACTATAAAGTTTATGAAATTGTTGCCTCATTGGGACGTGGTATTTGGGGAAACTTAAATCTGTGTTCCTAGACCACAGTCACGCATATTTAGCTCCATAAAAAAAGAGAAAAATCTCTTTGGGGCTGGAGAAATGGCTCAGCAGTTAAGAACACTGGTTGTTCTTGCAAAGTAAGGAAGCCCAACGGCTGCCAATTGTGGAATCAAATTGTCCCATGCTCCAAGCTCTTTGCCTATTGACAGAAAAATAAACTCCAGAAGGAGGGCTAATGATATAGGTTAAAGAATGTATCAACACTAATGGAGATCTTAACAGATTTTGATAGTGGTTAATGATGCTTAACACCTGTGGGTACCCAGGGGGAGGTGGGTCCTGTTTCCCTGATTTCTAGCAGTTCTGTTCCCAAGTCTGAACTTCTGAAGAGGCGGGATCCTCCTAACTCTTCACAGACTGGTTTCGGCAGCGACTGCCCATTACCAGGTGCACTGGTTGGTCGTAATTGTCAATTTGACAAAATCTAGACTCACCCAAGAGAGTGGCCTCCAAGCACACCTGTGAGGAATTATCTAGATTAAGGTTAGCCTGAGAACATCTGTGAGGGATTATCTTTTATGTTCATTAACGTGGGAAGATCCATCTTAATTGTGGGGGAAGTTCCCCGGGCTGTAGAAAATAGAGAAAGTGCTGGTGACTTCTGAGTACCCTGAACACAAGGTTCCCAGGAGGGAAAAGCCACCTTTAAGTGACCTTCCTGCAAGGCTGGTCAACTGCTTTGAATGAGAATGTCCCTCATAGGCTCCAAGCATTTGGACATTTTGTCCACAGTTGGTAGAGCTGTTTGGGGGGATTTTAGGAAGTGCAGACTTGCTGGAGGAAGCATGACACTTGGGGTGGGCTTTGAGAGTTCTTACGTATTGCTACATTTCCAGTCACTCTCTGCTTCCTGTGCCTACTTGAAGATGAACAACTGTCCATAACTCCAGTCTCAGGCGATCCGACAGCCTCTTCTAACCTCCATAGGCATTGCACGACACGGGTGCACTCACCTACATGCTGGGAATACACATATACACATAAAATAAAAATAAATAAAACTAAAACAAAAATCTTTTGTTTACAGTGAGAGTCTGCCCTACAGATGTATGTGACCAGTTGCTTCAAGCTGCCTTGACCTCTCCAGCATGATGGACTGCACTTTGAGTTGTGAGCTGGATAAACCCTCCCACCCTAAAGTTGCTTGTGTCAAGGCATTTTATCACAGCAACAGAAAAGACACCAGTCATGTCCCTTACAGATTTGGAGTCCTTTGGCTGGTGGAACCCTCTAGAGTCCTTAGGTTATTGAGTGGGTACCCTAGGTCCACTGGGATAGACCTGGGGTTGGGTTTCACTGGAGTGGGTCTGTGTGGCAATAGAGTACCTGATAGCCTGATCCTTGGGTCAATCTTGCACTTGAGCTTTGAGCCTTAGTCCATAGTGCTGCCTGGCTTGGCACTATGTGGACTTGGGCCTGATCCTGAGTTCAGAGGGCCCAGTCTGATTCCAGGATCCACTGTGGTGGTCCTGCTGTCTGGACCCACAGAGCCTTACTTGGAACCTGCATTTGTGGAGGCCAGTCTGGCACTGGAGCCACAAGAGCCTGGTCAGAAGTAGACCTGGAGCGTGAGCCCCCAGGCAGGCAGCGATGGTTTTAGAGCCTGAGTCCACAGGGTCCAGCCTAGCACTGGGATCTGCTGGGTAGGCCTGGACCCTGGGTCCACTGGGGGTGTTTTTAAAATTTTTGTTCTCCTTGCACAGAGCTAGACAAGGAACGCAGCGCTCAGTCAGCACCCTTCCCTGCTCACAACAGCTGGGCGTTCTGTGGGTCTGAGCATACGCACCACCAACCGCCGTCTCAGCCTCGATGACACCACCGTCTGAATCTGCCGAGTTTCATCAGATCTAGCTCATTCTTGTAGCTTCAGCGCTGGCCTTGATCCACGCACGCCCTCACCGTCGTCTGCTGCCACATAGGGAAGGTGAATCAAACCTGATATTCTGTTTGTTTTTGTCTCAAAAGCCTCTGCATTGCCTTTGTTTCTGAAATTTTTTTCTGTAAGCTGACACTTGTTGACACTAAGGTGATGTCATCTTATTGTCTTGGGGACCTCATTATCATGGCTGGAAGATTATCTCATTTTTAAAAGTGGCCTTTCTGTCCCCTGGTTGTTCTAAGGAAGTCTGTATGTATGTACGCATTCACGTGGGGGAGTGAGTATGTAGGTGGGCCAGAGTTCGACACAGGCTGTCTTTGCCAGTCTCCACCTTTTTTCTGGCTTTTTTTTTTGGTCTTTTTGAGACAGGGTCTCCCTGTAGCCCCAGCTGTCCTGGAACTCACTATGTAGACCAGGCTGGCCTCGAACTCACAAAGATCCACCTGCCTCTGCCTCCTGAGTGCTGGGATTAAAGGCGTGCACCACCATGCCTGGCAACTTTTTAAAAATATTTTTAAATGTTACATGTATGGATGTTTTGCTGCATGTGTGCAATGCTCTCACAGGTCAGAAGAGGTTGTCAGACCCCCTGGAGCTGGAGGTAAGGGTGGTTGTCAGCTGCTATGTGGGTGCTGAGAACCGAACCTGGGTCCTCTGCAGGAGCAGCTAGTGCTCTTAACCACTGATCCATCTCTCCAGTCCCAGTCTTTACTTTTTTAAAAGACAGGATCTCTCTTGCAGAGGACCTGGGTTGGATTCCCAGCACTCACATGGCTACTAACAACCGTCCATAATTCCAGTTCCAGGGAATCTGATGCCCTCTTCTGACCTCCACGGGCATTGTATGACTCTGGTGCACTTACATGCATGCACAGAATATATTCATGCACAAAAAATAAATATTAATAAAAAAATTTTTTAAAGATAGGATCTCTCATTGAACCTGGAGCTCACTGATTTGGCAAAACTAGCTGGCCAGTAAGCCAGGAGAGGAGAGGAGAGTCTATCTCCCCAGGGCTGGGGTTACAGGTTGGCTGCCATGTGGGTGCTGGGATTCAAACCAGGTCCCCTACAAGAGCAGCCAGGGCTTTAACCGCTGAGCCATCTCTCCAGCCCTCGATTTGTCAGCTTTGAACATTTCTCAGTGCTCACTCTGGAAACCACATACCTGTTGCACTGGTTCCTTTTGTGACATCTGAAGAATCGTTCGTTTTGTTCATGGTTACAGGGGTTCCATCTGCGGTCACCCGGCCCTATGCACTTGAGCAGAACAGCAAGGCTGTGGTGTGGTGAGGGGTTTCTTGGCCTTGTGATGGACGGGAAGCAGAGTGGAGCCCCAACGGGAAGGGCAAGATGCAGCCCCCAGACTCCCCCATGACCCACTTCCTCCCGCCAGACCCCACCTCCCCGAGTCCCACCACTCGTTGCATATGACTGTGACTGTCCTCCGACAGACAGATGCCATCTTCCCAAGACTGGTTGTACCTGCCTAAGATAGTCACAGCTGAGCTTGTCAACCGTTCACCACCCAGCAAGGAAGGGAAGGGTAAAGGAGAGTCACTGGACCCTTGATTCCACACCTCCCAACCAACCAGCCGGCCCTACATGTGGTGTGGCATGACGTGGGGAAGGAGCCAAGGGTATATAAGCTGGGGAGGCCTAGGGAGAGGGTCTTGCCATTTTATGCAGCTGTGAGGACGCCACCATTCGAGCTTGGATTAAGACTTTCCAGTGCATCCTTGGGGTGGAGAGACCCACACTCCTGCAGGTCAGCCCTCACCACTGCTCTGTAACTGCAATAAACTCACTGGTTCCCGTGACTGTAGTTTAGTGAAATCACGCCTCGGTTTGTCGTTGGCACCAAGGGAGGACGGGGCAGACATTGTTCACACCCCTTCAGAAGGAACTTTAGCTACACCTCCCAATAGGCTGTTGAGTCTACCAGTGGACCAATCCATTCATCCGGTCAGAGCCTTCAGGACTGCACACTCCTCACAGACACACCCGGAGGTGAGCTCTGCTAATCTCCCAGGCATCTCTGATCCAGTCAAGCTAAGGGTGAAGGTTCACCACTATCCCTTCTTTGTCTCATCAGTGATGGACAGGACTTGTTTGTGTCTTGGTCTTTTTGAGACAGGGTCTCCCTGTAGCCCCAGCTGTCCTGGAACTCACTATGTAGGCCAGGCTGGCCTTGAATTCACAGAGATCCGCCTGCCTCTGCCTCTGCTGGGATTAAAGGCGGGCGCCACCACGCCCGCCCAGCTCAGAATACTTTTTAAAAGGTCTCACTCAGTTGCTCAGGCTGGCCTTGAGCTCACTTTATAACTCAAGCACACCTCTGAACATGTGATGCTCCTGCCTCAGCCTCCAGAGTAGCTGGGATGACAGGCCTGAGCCACCAAGGCCTGCCAATCATCTCCAGGTCTTTGCAGGCTGAAAAGGACCTGCCAGGCCTGGCATCTTGTGTGACAAGCAGAACCTCAGTTCCAGCTCTGGAGGGGTCAGAGCCTCACGGCTGCCCAGGTCTCTACACTCTGCGCTGAGGCTCTCCTGCGTTTGTAGTGGAGGATGGTGATGCCAAGGGCCTCCCCTCAGCTCAGTCTGACACGCAGCTAAAGCTGACCGAGGCTCTGTGGGTCTTGCTCAGATCAATGAAAATGGGTTAGGTGAAGGAGATAATCAGAATTGGCACAAGCTAATACTGATATATTTGTAATGTTTAATTAACAAGGGTTTAAAGGAAAACCCCAAAGGGGTCAAGTGGGAAGTTTTGATGTGAACAGAAAACCACAACCCATCCCAAGAAGGGAGGCTGGCAGAAAAAGAAGGGAAAAGCAGCTAGAGCTTGCTGTAGTCTCCTAGTCTCTCTCGGGGCCTTTCCTACTGTACCCCAGCACATTCAAGGATCGAGATCTGGAATGGGTTGGGCACTCAGTAGTATTTCTGGAGTTGGTGGACACGATTTCTGCTGACCACTGAGATCTTCCTTCCTTTGAATGCAACTCTTCCAGCAAGATTCAAAAGCTGGCCACCCCCAGCTGACCTAGGAGGGGAACAAGACTTACCTAGAACAAGAGGGCCAGGGTGGACTCGGGAAGGCCTGGGCAGGACCCTAAGCAATGCCTCGGAGGGATCCCTCCAGCCTGTTCCGTTCCGTGTGGCTCGCTCCCTGTCTTGCCCAGCTCCAGGAGTAGCTTACCCACTTGGCACCTGCACTGGTCCCAGGAGTGGCTCTGCTGCCTACCTCAGGCCACAAGCTCCTCTCTGGCTCAGTGGATGCAGGTGCAGCACCTTTTGTGGACACATCAGAGGATGGGGTAGGGGGTGATTGGGGCAGAGGGAAGGGAGGTTGCTGCCCCAGTAAGGTCTGCCAGGTGAAACTCGGAGCTCTCCTGGGGGAATCCTGGAAGGCTCCGATTCTGCATGGTGGGTGGGGGCAGTGGGGGGCAGACACACTCATAGCAAGCACAATGTGGACAGGGATAGGACTGATCTGTGCACCCTGAAACCCGTGTGTTTCAGCTCCAATTCCAAAGACACGTCAGAGCGGGGCTAGTCAGAGATGGGGGTCTTGAAGGAGCAAAGTTGACGAGATCTTCAGGCTGGCCCCTCATCCAATATGCTGGGGTGCTCAGAGCAGAGACACACATTGCCAGGTAAAAAGCCATGTGAGGTTACAGTTAAGAAGGCACCCACCATGAGCCAAGGAGGCAGGGGCCAGGGAAACCCCCTACTGGCATTGATCTTACAGGTCTGTGGGTAAAGCTGCCCTCTGAATGTCAGACTTGGTTGGACCCACTTGCTTAGGATCATCACAAGCAAACCTGACTTTTGAGGCTCTGAAAGAAAGGAGGGGCTGGGAGAATCAGCCACACCTCCCAGCCAATCAGTCGGCCCAAATTGGGGGGGGGGGGCGCAGGGGGAAGGGAGCGGTGTTGATACTAAGTGGAAAACGCCATGAAGCACGCTCTGTCGCACCATTTTGGATGACTGTAGCAAAGTGACCATATGGAAACTTTCCAGTGTGGCCTTGGGTTGGGGGGAGCCCCCACACTCCTGTAAGCACCCCCAGTAAACTTTTTAGTTTCCCAAACTGTAGTTTGGAGGAGTTATACCTTGGTTTGTCATAAGGGTGGTGGGAGGATGGTCGCACCTCCCAGAAGGGATTTAGCAACAGTGTCCCACCTGGGACCAAAAGGAAGTGGGTTTCCACCCTCCGGAGTCTGTCCTTATGGGTTTCTGTCCTCATGGATTTCTACCCTAATGTCTGGGGTTTTCCCACAGCAGAGCTGATGGAGACCTTGTAAGGAAAGGGGCATAGATCCCACTAAGAGCCAGGATTCTGCTCCCCAAGAGGGACAGCTTTAGGCCTGCATCCAGGAAAATTCCAGAAAGGGCTTCAGGGCCAAGGAAGGTGCTTCCCCTACCTGCTGCCCATACATAGCAAGGTTTTGACCACCAAGGGAGGAGAGACCGAGAGGTGGTGATGATGGCAGGGCCTAAACAAGGGTGGTGGAAGGTGGCTGTGGCCAGGAGATACACAGGACAGAGTGGCTCTGCAGCCCGTGCCCATCCCACCCTGCACTTCTCCAGTGGATTCTGGTTACAAACTCACAGGGAAGATGAGCATGTAAAGCCATCTCCTCTGTCACATCCAATGTGGACCCAAGGCTCTGCTTGCCCCTGGCCTGGGCAAGTGGGAAGGGCACAGGATTACAGTCCTTGTCATATGGGGTGCAGGGCTGAGAAGTGGCAGCACAGGTCCCCAATTCTCATGGTGCCGCCGTGACCACTGGCCATGTTTCATCAAGAACTGACATTACAGCTGGACACTTGGGAGGCAGAGGCAGACGGATCTCTGTGAGTTCAAGGCCAGCTTAGTCTACATAGTGAGTTCCAGGCCAGATAGGGCTACAGGAAGGCCCTGTCTCTGAAAAATAAAACTGACATTAACCTCGTCTCTGTGATAGTCACAGGGAACCCACAAGGTGAGTGGACCCGCCAGCTCCCCGCCCCTATGGCCTTGCTCCATCTCCTTGGTAACAAGACCCCACATTCTCTAGGTGGACATGTGCCCAGCTCAGTTCATCCTATGCATCTCTGTAGCCAGGAGAAGCCCTGTAACAGGTGTTGGCTACAGAGCTGTAAGGGGCCTCTGCTTCCTTCCATGGCTCTGCCACCAGGAACCCCAGCAGCCACACTGGAAGCCACAGCAATTGGTGGGGGGCGGGGGCAGGCCGAGGCTGGGAGGCGAGGGGTGGTGTGCCTGGGCTCCTGATGGAATGGAGAAAGACCTCTGGGCCGCTTTGCTGTGTGAGGGAGAACAACACTTGGTTATTTACGTTTTCTCTATCAAATGCCACAGGACCCATTGTAGAGTGGAAAGTGTTTTTTTATTTTACTATTTTGAAACAGGGCCTCACTATGTGACCCTGGCTGGTCTGGAACTAGCTATGTAGACAGGGCTGGCCTTGAATTCACAGAGATCTGCCTGCCTCTGCATCCCAAGTGCTAGGATTAAAGGTGTGTGCCACTATGCCTGATTTCATTTTTTAATTATGTGGGGGAGGAGGTTTGTGCACATGAGTGCAATGCCTTCGAAGGCCAGAAAAGATGCTGGACACCCTGGAGTTGGAGTTACAGGCAGTTGTGAGCCTCCTGATGTGGGTGCTAGGGACCAAACTTGGATCCTTTGCAAAAGCAACAAGAACTCTTAACCCCTGAACCATCTCTCCAGCCCCAGAAAGTGCTCTTTTTATCTCCAACACATATGCAGTCTAGAAACAAAGGCAGAAGACGTGGAGGAGGGCTGGGAACTGAACCCCACCAAATGTGGAGCCAGCAGCTCCTGCTCTAAGGCTACCTGGTGGGCTCCACCAGACGCTGAGCCCGCTGGTCTGAGGTGTCCGTCTGGCAGAACCCTGCTGGACTTAGGTATAGGAAGCCAGCCACTCTCTCTTCAGGCATGAAAGCCTAACCACTGCTACAGAATAGAATGTAGGTTTATTTTCAATAAAAACCATAATCTGGGGGGTGGGGGGGTAGGAACACCCACTGGCAAATGTACAGCTCTTCCATTTTGGGGTGTTGCCAGCTGTGGGCCCCCACATCCCTGAATTGCATGCATTGGGCTGCAAATGTTCACAGCTGACTTCAAGCCCGCGGTGCTCAGTCCTCCACGGGGTGTCTGGTCTCCTGCAGAGGCCTCTGCATCTCAGTCTGCCAAGCCCTCCCCTACCCTGCTCGGTACAGCGCGAAATCAAAAGAACCAAACCAAACACAAACTCCAAAGCAGACACAAGAGGTTCACAGAATCGGGCTCTAAATTATTTTCTGGTGTCCTCCATTATCATGATGACTTATCTTGCAACAAACTAAAATATACATCCATTTCTTGCTCTTATAAAATCTCTTCTTATTCACAGATATATAACCGGAGATTTGGATGAAATAATTACAGCTCCCCCACCCCACCCCCCCGCTTAGAAAACAAACAGGCAAAACAAAACACAAGGAAATGAAACAAAAAAAAATCCCCAAGAAACAAGGAACAGGAAGTGGCTGGGAGCAGCCTCTCTGGAGCCTGGGCTTGTACTGAGTGAGGCTGGGCTGGGGTCCCCTGCAAAGTGCCCCCCGGCACCTGACTTGGGTTCAAGTGTGCTCTCTCCAAGGCCAACCCCTTGCTCCTATCCCAGCTTCTCAAAGCACATGCCTTTGTGGGGTGTCTAATCTACTCCTGGATCCCTCCCCATCTCCCCCGCAACATCCCAGCCGGCACACGCTGTTGTGTGTGGGCATTGAGCTGGAGGACACAGGTGGATCCTCAGCATCCCCAGGTGTGATGTGCCCAGACCCGCTCTGGCAGTGATAGTCTCCCTAACTCTAACCTTGGCTGGGTCCCCTCCTCATCCAGGACTGGGCAGCTGGCTGAATGGAGAAAGGGCCCTAAGGAAGTCCGTGTCTCACCATAAGCTTTGGCACAGAACTCAAAGGGAGCCCGAGTCTCTATAGGGCTTACGCACTATGAGGAGAGAAAACAGGGGCTGGCCAAGAGAGGTCAAAGGTTAGGAGGCACCAAGAGAGGGAGGTGATGGGGTAGAAGCACCCCAAGAGCACTTATGTTGGGTTGGCCCCAGGCCCAGTGTGTGGGTTGCAGAAGTCCTTGTGGAGACACCTACCAAGTGTTGGAACAGTCTAGTGCAAGGGCCAGCATTAGACCTTGGACCAGGGATGCAGAAGACTCAAGGGGGTGTCTCGGTGAGAACAAGAGTGCCAGGGACATGAGGAAGGGACCTGGTCCTCTCCCCTGGTCTTCAGGGTTCACACATGTCCCCCGGCAGCAGGGAAGATCTGTTTCCATGTTTAGGAAAGGGACCTCAAGCAAAGAGCAGTACCACTGGTTGGGGGTGGGCTGGCAACAGCATCATCCTGAAGGCCCCTTCTGAGAGGGCGGGCCTGCCCATTGAGCACTCAGCAGGACTCTGATGTGGAGGGAAGAGAGGTGGTCAGGGAAAATCCCGGGGCCCCCTGTGCAAGCTCTCTGACCCGGAACCCCAGGACAGCTGGGCATAGTGGGTATCACAGCAAATGGCCTGACTCTGGTCCTGCCTGCCTCCTGAGGCCTAATGTCCTACCCCAAAAAGCAGCAGAGAAGACAGGTGACTCAGGCTAGGGGCTGAGCAGGTGAGGCTGGGGAGGGCCCCTCTGTTGTCCCCAGCCCTCGTTGAGTCCTAGGCTCCTGATCACCATCTCATACAGAGGGGCAGGCGGTGGCTCCCGACCTTGGCTGTCAGTCATCCATGCCTGCCTGGTCACACCGCAGAAGCCCCCATTCCTTGGTACTCTGAGTGGGGCCATCCCAGATTTCCTCTATGTACAAGGAATGTACCCAAGGACAGGCCAGCAAGGGCAGGTGACGGTGGAACACCCTCCCCATCCCTGTGGGCCAGCGATAGCTGCAGGATTGGCAGGCAGTTCTCCGGGAGCCGTGGAGGAGCCAGAGGCAGACTTCACGGCTCGTCCAGGTCTCGCCCTCACTGGACGCCCTCCTCTTCTACGTACGTTGAAGGAAACCAGCCGATCTGAAAGAGAGGGCAGGACAGTGTGTGCATGTGCGCACACGGGGTGGGTGATGGTGGTGGTGGTGGTGTGTGTGTGTCAGGGCATGGAAATGAAGACCCTTCAAAGGACCGGAGTTCTCAGCTAGGCTTGCCACAGGGCCCTAGCAAAGAGCCTGGACCTAGTTTATGATCTGCCAATCAGAAAAAAGTCAGACCCAACTGAGGAAAATCACATCAGAGTCTCCTCACACACAAGCCTGACCCTCAGGCAGAACTGCGATGAAAACCAAGAGCTAACTCAACAGCAGAAAGTAGACTTGGGTTGGGGATATAAAGGGCTGGTGTATATGTTTCAGAAAACCAGCGACAAGGCAGACAGCTCCCCCAGAGAGCTGGAGTCAGAAATCAAACAGTTCCTAGAACTGAAGCTGGGCGCCGTGGCACGCTCCTGTGATCCTGGCAAACAGGAAGGCTCCAGGCCTCAAGTTCCAGGCCAGCCAGGCCTTCACCTTATCTCCCAAACAAAATAAAAATAACCAATAAACAAAAAAGGAAGGAAGGAGGAAAGGAGGGAGAGAGGAAGGAAAGAGAGGGAGGGAAGTGGGGAGGGAGGTGGAGAAGGGAGGGAGAGAGAGAATGGAGGAGAGGGAGGGGAAGGAAGGGAGGGGAGGGAGGAAGAAACAGAGGGAGGGGAGGGAAGGGAGGGAGGGAAGGAGAGAGGGAGGGAACAAATCCAGGAACTAGAAGATGTAATGACTTAAAAGAATTCAACAGGGGCGGGTGTGGTGGTGCACACCTTTAAGCCCAGCACTGGGGAGGCAGAGGCAGGCCAGTATCTGTGAGCGCAAGGCCAGCCTGGTCTACAAAGTGAGTTCCAGGACAGCTGGGGCTCCAGGGAGACTCTGTCTCTAAAAGACCAAAAACAACAACAACAAATAAAGGACTCAATAGGATTAAGCAGGTTGAACAGAGCACAAGAGAAGAAAGGGAGGGAGCTACACAGGCTCCTGGAGGAGGAAAGTGAGGCAGACGCAGCCCCTGCAGACACTACTCGCTGAGGATGTGTTTCACACACAGCCCCGCAGGGCAGAGAGGAGCAGAGCGACACTGGCTGCCCAGCAGGCATTTTCTTCATGAAAGCGACGTAAAGAAACTGGCCTGGCCTCGTCACGGGTGAAGCAAGCCGTGGACCCCGGGGCAGCATCACCACAGAGCTGCCAAGAAAGCCTTGCTGCCCGCGTGGGAGCCGTCACCCCCAGTGAGTGTCTCGGGACGATGCCTGACAAAAAGGGACAAGGAGATCATGGGCTCCTGGGGGGACGAAGAAGTGACGGAGGAAAAGTTTCCTTCACAGTGAAAGGCAAACTACTGCCTTCCGAGGAAAAAGTGCTGAACCAGACTTCTGCTCTTCCGTCATGGTGGAGAAAACTCATCCGTGAGTGGTAGCTACTGGGCAAAAGCTGCCGAGGAACAGGGCATTCCCCCATCCCACGGCACAGCTGACCCTGGTACCAGCAGGTAAAGCTCAGCAGATACTCAAAATCCCTACAAGAAATGGTGTACTGTTGGCATGTGGCCACACACATTCTCCTGTAAACTTTAAATCCTCTCTAGATAACTTTAAATGTCGAGTGCAGTGGGGCTGCTGTGTACTGAGTTATGCTATTCTGTTTAATTCTGCAGTGTAGTGAATTAGACAAAAAAAAGCTTTGACCCATGGTAGGTTAAATTCATGCAAAAGAGACCCATGGAGGTAGGGTTAGCTCTAGTACCTTAGAAATGCATTTATTTTTATCTTAGGCGTAGGAATGTAGTGCCTGCATGTATGTAAGTGCACCCATGTGTTGCAATGCCCGAGGAGGTCAGAAGAAGGCATCCTATCCCCTGGAACTGGAGTTACAGACGGTTGTTAGCTACCGTGTGGGTGCTGGGAAACGAACCTGGGTCCTTTGCAAGAGCAGTCAGTGCTCTTAACTGCTGAGTGATCTTTCCAGCCCCAAAACTGTATTCTTTAAAAATTTTTTTTTTTTATTTTATGTGTATGAGTGTATTGCCTGCATGTAGGTAAGTGCACCCGTGTCGTGCAATGTCTGCGGAGGTCAGAAGAGGCCATCGGATCCCCTGGAACTGGAGTTACGGACAGTTGTTAGCTGCCATGTGGGTGCTGGGATTCGAACCCAGGTCTTCTGCAACAACAGCCAGCATTTTTAACTGCTGATCCATCTCTCCAGGCCCAGGGAACATCTTAAGTAAAAGGAAAGTCAACAGTAGTTGGGGGGTGGGGAGCACCAACTCATGGAAAGCTGCTGTTGCCTCTAATAGCAGATAGAAATGGAGGTGAAACTTCCAGTGGTGAAAAGACGTTTCATAATGAAGGCTGAGTTGACAAGAACTACCTACAAACACAAACCAGCAGCTTCCAACTTTGCCACGGAACGGCCCAGACGTGGTGAAGGTTCAAGCGAGTTACTGAAACACAGTTCCAGCTGCTTCTACTACCACTGGCCTGGGGGCACTTTCAGAGACCTCCAAGCCACTGCTAAGACTTACCAACCCCTCACTCTTCTGAAGGGCAGCTGGGAAAAACGATCACATCAGGGGCCTGCGGCAGACTGTTCTCGGCAGGAACAGACTGGATCTTGCCACCAGTGATAGAGTGCTCAGCGGGGGAGCCAAGACTGCCTGATCGTATGCAGCCCAGTGCACCTGCCTGTGGGCAGCTACAGCCCCAAGGAAGGTCCAGCCTGTCCTACTGGTGGTACATGGAGCTCTTGTGCCCTTTTGAGCAGCTGCTCAGAGACCTGAGTCAAAACCAGAGGATCTAGACAGGTCCTGGGATAGAGAGGGTCTTTTGCAGATCTCCAGGAAGAAGAGTCAGTGGGGGTCACCTGACACTCACTGAGGACAGAGGGAAGGGATGGGGCGAGTGGGGCCCAACAGATCCCCACAGCCTCCCTATCTGCAGACAAGCTGGACAGAGACTGTATGTCGAACGTGTTTCTGCAGTAGCCACAAAGGCAGAGAGAATAGAATTGTTATATATAGTACAGGGTCTGAGGGACCCTGGGTTGAGATCTGACCAGAGAAGCTGGGATCACAGAAAACGTCTGGAGCCTCAGTCCCCTCCCCACCCCCATGGCACCAGCCTTCTGGGCTGTGATGGAGATGCAGAGACCTGCCTCAGACGCAGTGCGTCTGAAACAGGGCCGGGCAGTCTGGGCTCTAGAGTAGCTTTTCTGAGTGCAACAGAATCGAAGCCAAAAGGCCGTGTCCTGGACCCCACGGCAAGGCTTGGGGGCCTCTGCTCACCCGTCCATTTGTCTCGCCCTTCCACCAGCCCTGGTCCCCGCCGATGCGGCTGTAGATCTTCACCACGTCACCTTCTCGCAATGACAGTTCCCGCATGTCCCGTGCAGCAAAGTTGTACCTGGCCACAGCTGTGCCAATGACTCGGGGTGTGAACACTGTTAGGGGAGACAGGGCAGGGTATCACACAACTGAAGGAGTGGTCCAGTCAGGGTTCAGAGGCCCTTGGACTGAGCTGGGTCTTTTCTCTGGTGCCAAGTGCCTGACTTTCCACCCACAGGGAGAGAAGGGCTCTGGCGGGACACACCAGTTCAGGATTCCCCAGGTCGCGGTGGATTTGCCTACATGGTACACACAAGTGCGTGCACTTCAAGATGATCAGACCTGTTACCACCCATGATGGGCAGTTGTCACAAGCAATAAGCATCCTCTTGGGACCAGAGTAGGCGCCCAAGCCTTACCCATCACAGGCTGTGGTCTATTCATCCCAGATCCCCAAACCAGACTGGAAAGCCAGTGAACCAGCTCAGCCCAGAGCCCAGAAATCCCGGGGCACAGGTGACAATGGCATTGACTCAGGGGGGCACACACAGGCACACACAGTCGGCTTTGGCTCTGGCAGCAGAGGGTGTTGAGCTAGGGCCAACCGAAACCCCTCTTCCCTGCCCCCATTCCTAGGGTGGGTCCTCACAGTCGCAGAGCAGACCATCAGCTCTGCCTCTCCCACAGTTCCCACAGCCAGAGGCAAAGCTCTCCGTGTCCACGAGGGATGACAGCTGATGAGACAGGATGTGGCCATCGGTATGATGGGGGCAGAGCCCGGCCTGATATATCCGCATGTGCAACAGCCTCGGCCTGACACCCAGCTTCCCACCCCCACCCGTCGCCAGGCTGCACAGCCAGAGGGACATGCCAGGTCGGGCCGAGGCCCTGAGCAGCGGAGGTACCTGACCAGAAGGGAGCGGAGGGGCCCTGAGGGGCAAAGCTGAGGCCCTGGGGACTGAGAAAAGAGAAGTTGTAGGAAGCACACGGAGCTGCAAAGAGGCGAGAGAGAGCGTAAGATGAGCAGCCGGGGGCCGAGGAGCACGGGGAAAGAGGAGCACGACTGTGCTGGATACTTTAGTGTCAACTTGACACACCTGGGTTGAGGGAGCCTCAACTGGGGAATTGCTTCCAGAGGACTGACTTGTGGCCATGTCTGTGGGGCACCTGCTTGATTGCTGAGTGATGTGGGAGGGCCCAGCCCACTGTGGGCAGTGCCACCCCAGGCAGGTGGGCCTGTGTTGTAAGAAAGCAGGCTGAGCAGGGGCCAGGGGAGCAAGCCAGTAAGCAGTACTCCTCCACGGCCTGTGCTCCAGCTCCTGCCTCCAGGTTCCTGCCCTGAGTTCCTACCTTGGGCTCCCTGATGAACTGTGACCTGGGAGATGTAAGCTGAATAAACCCTTTCCTCCCCAAGTTGGTAGTGGTCAGAGTGTTTTGTCACAGCAATGGAGAAACAGACTAGAACAACGGGGGACGGAGGAGAACTGGGGCCGAGAAGCACGGGGGGGCCAGGGCCTGCCTCAGGGAGGACTTGGAGAGGACACAGGGCACAGCACAGCTAGGCCACTGCTTTCTCTGCACCTATGTCTTGAGAGGACACCAGTTCTCACAGAGGCTGGCAACCCTCCCCTGTTCTGCTGCGTCTGGGTTAGGGGGTCCTAGGACTCTGCAGGTCCCTACAAACTGGAGACATGGAACTCGGGGTAGAGCTCTGGGCTGGAAGCCTATGCCCCGGGCCTGTCTCTGCCTGTAGTTCCAGGTCACATTCTTGTTCTGGGCCTTAGTGTCACCTCTGCAAGCAGGCAGCTGCCTCTCATAGCCGAGGCCCCGGAGCACCGGGGATGGTCTGAGGATAGACCTTTCTCTGTTCTTCCCCAATGTTGTCAACTCCAAGCACAGGGCTCTTGGCCTGTGCAGGCCTGCACTGATCTGTGAGCAAAGATGCCAAGATCCTGAGCAGGTGTGCAGACCCCATCTGATACAGGACATGGGAGGGGTGGCAGGTCGACGCCAGTGACAGATGGGGAGGGCCTGGTCCTCGCTCAGGGATGACAGCTCTTGACTCCGCTGGGCAGGGTGCATCTGGGCCCTGGACACGGCCTGAGTGGATGCCCCTGGGCGTGGGTGTTACCTGGCGACCGGCTGGAGGCCCTGGAGGTGGCACGCTCCCTAGTCTTGTAGGGGAACTTGAGTGTGGTGTCCAGTTGCTTGAAGCTTTCTTTGAGCGAGTGACACTGGTAATACTCCACCAGTTCCTGCAGGGGGCGCACGTTCACCAACCACTGCAGAGCTGGGCGTTCTCCCTCTTCTCTCCTATGGGGTCCAGGGATGGGCCCCTCCCCTTGGGCTTCCAAGTCTCCCCACACCCCGGCCAAGCCCAGCTGGGGTGGTCAGGGCCTCAAAGACCCCCCCCCTCCCACACAGCAATACTCCCTAAGGTTTCTGAAGGAGACACTCATGAAGGAATGTTAAAATTGAAAGACAAGCTGTCGACTTTTGCTGGAAGGCAGGTACACATCCCAGGTGTCCACAATGTGGACAAGACTCTAGAAAACCAGGCAGAATGCCACGTGACTAGTAGCCAGGGAGAGGATTTACCAGCCGGAATGCAGGTCTGTGAAGGCTGCCTAAAGCTGGGGTAGGGCTTTGCAGGTGCCATGGCTTTATAAGGGCGTGAACCATGCACGGCCTTGCTGTCCCCAGGAGGGCACATGCTGGGTTTGAGTTAAGAACGAGATCTGGACACTTTTTGTTTGCCTTTATGTTTCGCAGGGGCCACAGAGGGGAAAGGAAAACCCCACTGGGCAGGAAAGTAATGTTTGTGATTAAGAAAACAAATAGGATTGAGGTGTAGCACAGTGGTGGGTGTGGGGGGTGGTCCTGCCTAACCAGCATGAGGCCCTGGGCTCCACCCTCAGCATGAAAAATAAAGGAAAAGAACATTCTAAAGCCACTTTCACAAAGACTCTCTTTAACCACAGCCTGACTACACTGGACCCTTTGGCGGGAGAGCGTGCCAGGCTGGGGCCAGAAGCCTCACTGGACCTTGGCTTCTGCTCTTGTGGGGAGATCATGTGACCTGAGGCAGGGTTAGAGTCAGAAGTCCCAACTCAAGGATGCAACATGGCTCCAGCTGTCCCCTGGTACCCTACAAACAAGTTTCCCTGGATCTTGCCCCACCTTAGGAAAAATCATTCCTCTGTAGGTAGGGAGAATGGGCCAGCAGGGACCCGACTGGGGAGCCACCAGGGCTCTGCGGTCTGTCTGGGCATGGAGAGCTGTTGAGTTTCTGAGGCTTGAGTCAGAGAGCTGGGGAGCTGCTGGGGTTGTGGAATGGGGGCGTCCTTGGGCCTCTGAGTCTGGGGTCAGGGTTGGGCACGCTTGGGCCACTGTGGCTGGGCTCTGGGACAGCAAGAGTGGCAGGAACACATACCAGGAGGCTTTCAAACTTCTTTGCTTCTGTGATGTGAATCCAGTTGTCCTTCTCCACCACCTTGATGTGTTTCACCTCATCATTGAACCTGGATAGACACACAGCCCGGCCATCACCACATAGGCGCACAGCCCCAGGCTGGTTCCAGGTATGCTGCAGCGAGACCCTGACAAGTCCTTACACTGCCACGGTAGCCCCTCCAGGCTGGCTGTTTCTCCCGCCCTTCACCCAGTCCACCTGGGAAGGTAGCCTGGGGCCTGTTCTGCCACTCTCCTTTGAAGTTGACACCCCGGGCCCCCTCCACCAACCACTCAGCTCCTCTCTCTCTCTCTCCAGCCCACTGTGGCACCCAGTCTGGAGGCCCTGGGTACTGGGAGCTTTCCCCCTCCTCCCCGAGAGCAGCCAGCTCAGCTCCAATCTCAGCCCCTAACACTCCCTCCCCCCACAGCTCCAGATGCACAGAGCACAAGCCCGCCAAGTCTCAGAACTGGTTGCTCCTGCTGGAACACTCATCCTCACCATCCTCAGTTCAAGTGTTCCCAAGCCACTCTCCCAAATGTCATCCCAACCCATGCCCAGGGAGACCAAAGTCAGAGAAATCACAGGGACGGAAAATTAGAGTCAGTATCCCAATGACTATGGGTGCAGGAACCCAGTTGGTGACCCAAGAGAACGTATCTCCCTATACATACCCGCACATGCACAGCACACGTGCCAAGGCCTTCCTACCAAGGCCAGAGTGAAGGCTGGGAATCTTAGGAATGCAAGGTCGGCTCAATACCCAGAAATCAGCTAATAAATAACCAAGTCCCCAGCTGGCCAGTCTCCCACCCTTTCCATAGCACCCATCTGTGTCCTCCTGGACTTAAGGTGTGCCAGACCCATAGGATCCGCAGCTGGGATGTCCTGAAGGCCAGCCAGGCATACACAAGGCACTGAGGGAGCTCCTATGAGGTAGGCTTCCTATCTGCCACGTCGGTGCTGGGGCCGGGCTGAAGCTACGTCACAGACCTGCTCCTGGGCACACGCTCCACCCACGCCCTCCCAGGACACCACCAAGGCTGTCTCTGCCAGGGGCTGTCCACACAAGGTGCCACCCATCCAGGGTGCTCCAGCTGCCCTTGGCAAGGCTGATCAGCTCTGCAGAGGCCCTTCCTACTAGGCCACAGGACACGCAGGCTGCCATCTAGTGAACACCCAGTACTGTTTTTTTGTATTTTAGAACCAATATGTTTACTTCAGACCCTAAACATTGTAGAACCTTTGGGAAAGGTGAAGGGCCCTGGCAGTGTTACTTGAAGCAAGGGAGACCTAGGGCCTCGTGCCCTGTCTCATCTCCTAGTTTCCCAGATTCTCATTTATACTCTTCTCAGCCTCTGGGGGGTTGGGGGGCTGGGGGCCTTGACAGCTGTCTTGTAGAGCAAGACCCTGGCCCTAGAGGTCAGGGTCGTGTCTTATCTGTAGCCCTCAACAGGTGTCAGATGCATATACTAGCTGTCTGTACCTGTCCGGGCTAGACTGCATGGCCCAGGATGCTGAGGATAGCCAAGCTTTGAGTCCCCAAACCGTGCAAATGCAGAGAAAACCCATCCCCAGGGAAAAGGGGACAGTAGTGAGTTCAGGTCGTGTGGCTGCCCTGCCAGGCCCTTCGGGGCCCTGCTGACCAGCCTCTACCTGTCCTAGGGGCCACAAGGCACTCCTAAACCCCACAAACATCCCTTCTCTGCTATCTTCTGTCACTGCAACCAGAGTGGTCTGCCTGACCCACTAGGTGCCAGGGTCCACAGTGTAGGAAACCACGAAGGCATGTGTGATGGCTACTCCTGGGTGTCAACTTGACTGGATCTGGGATTAACTGAAATGAGAGAGATCTTGATTGGATCATCTGAAGCTGGAAGACACCCTAAATGTGGGTGTTACCTTCTGATGGCAGCCCATATAGAAGGCCATGACAGAGGAGAACACCAGGCTTCTTGCTGCTTGCCTTCTCTCTCGCTGGTGAGTTTGTCTTGCTGCTGTAGACTGAAGCCTTCAGCACCAGATTGGGACCACTGAGACATCCAGCCTTGTGGACTGAGTGACTTCAGATTCTCAGCCTCGCCAGTGTGGTGCAGCCATTGTTGGACTACTTGGTCTCTATCCTGTGAGCTAAGTTGATAAATCCCTATACATGTATATTCATTCTACTGGTCCTGTTTCTTTGGAGAACCCTGACTAACACAGCAGGCCCTAGGGCGAGATGAGCCTAAAACTTCTAAGTCCAGGCTATGTTCTCTGCTAAAGGGAGGGGGTCCTGTTTCTTTGGAGAACCCTGACTAACACAGCAGGCCCTAGAGCGAGATGAGCCTAAAACTTCTAAGTCCAGGCTATGTTCTCTGCTAAAGGGAGGGGAACTGAAAACAGCAGCTCTGATCTCCGTGTCTTGCAGAACACTGCAGGGCTAGTAAGAGCAAACTAAAAAGCTGTATGTCCTGTTTCCTGTCTAATTGTGACCTAATCTTTGTATGTAACTGCCAAACCCCACATGACTGCCAGTTCCTTGTAATGTATAAAAACCTTCTGAAGTTTTCAATAAACAGCTTGTTACAGGTCCTAGAGTCCGGGACTCTGTTGTCAGTTGGTACAACCAGGGAAGCGAGGTTCCCTGCCAAGCAGAGCAGACCTGGGTCCCTACACCATAGGGCCTGTCCCATCCAACCCCTGGACCAAGGATGCCTTTCCCTAGACACAGCCCCGCCCCCCAATTCAGGGATCTCAGAAGCCCACTAAGACCATGACAAACCAAATCCATATTGGTAGCTGGCCCGAGATGTTTATCTATGGGTATCCTGTGTCAAGGGGGACAAACTGGTAGTTTGTCTCTAAGGGAGGGTACCCAGACCAAGGGTTTGCAGTCCAAGCCACAAGGCTGCCAACCCTACCACTGGAGCTCTCCAGGGGTCTCCAGCTGCCATGAAGTAAAGGATGCAGCCCCTCCCAGACTCACAAGAGGGGCTGCCAGCACGTCCCTGAAAGTTCTTCCTAGTGTCCCATGAGCCCATTTATCTCTGAAAATGCCCAACTAGCCCTTGGCTAGGGTGATACAGCCATGGCACAGTAGATCCCACCCAGCACATCTAAGACTCCCCATGCAAACACCCAGCACATCTGAGGACCCTTGAGGACCAACCCCAGTTCTCAGCTTCTTTCTTATGCCAAGTTCGCTGGCCTAGACAGCAGACCCCTCCTCCCCCTTCAACATGGGCAAGAGGAGGCCCTCAGTGGCCTCAGGGCTGTGGCTCACTTGATGCTGATGGCAAAACGCTCAGCTTCCGCTGGCCGCTCTCTGATGAGGTAGGTCCCGCTGGCATGAGACTTGAGCAGGTTGTCCGTCTGCTGCCGTTCCATGTTGCCGGCAAACCTGGGGTCAGGAAACCAGAGCTGGGACACGCTGCTGAGGGGCCTCAGTGTGTGCATGCCACCTACCAAGGGTTTGTGCCTCTCTGAACTTTAACCTTCGAGCTGATGCGGGCCTGTGACTGTGTCCTGCTAAGCAGGGGCACAACGGGCAGGGTGGGGGGCCAACACTGCAAGTCAGGACTACAGGGGAGTTCATAAAGATGTCATGGGAAGAGGTAAGAATGCGCCACGGCCAGGCAGGGGCTATTCACACCACACAAGCTTCCACCGGACTGCATTTTTCTAGTTTCCTTACTACTTGAAAAGCAATAACCACACAACTGCATATGTGGGCGTCTTGCAGGACATGCTGGACACCTCCAGCGTCTATGCCGACTCAGATAGAGCAAATCAGATCTTCCCAGCCATCTCTACCGAGAAGAGGTGAAACCTGAGGTGGTGCGACTACCACTCCAGCAAAGCTGTCCTACGTTCCCTGGCTTGACACCATGAACATGTGCTTCCATATTTTGGGGGCTGGGGAGATGGCTCAGAGGTTAAGAACACTGGCTGCTCTAGAGGACCCAGGTTCGATTCCCAGCACCCATACAGCAGCTCACAACTGTCTATAATTTTGGTTCCAGGGGATCCGACGCCCTCTCCTGGCCTCTGAGAGCACCAGACATGCACGTGGCACACTCACATACATGCAAGCATAATACTCATACACATATAAATAAATAAATAAATCTAAAAAAAAATTTAAATTTCTTGGTGGCTGGGGAAGGGTGTCAGTTTCCTTAGTGGTATAGCCACAAGTATTTTGCCCACACTTCAGTAAATAACTACCCACCCACGTTCGTATAAGTAACTCTAACTAAACTCTGTGGGACACACCCACCAAAAACCACAGACGCAGGAAGGGGACTTGGTGAGGGGAGCAGGGCCTTTCACAAGAGAAGAGCAGTAAGAGACAGAGCATTGTGGGGGGTAGGGGCTAAAGTGACCATATATGTATCTGAAACCATCAAAGAATACAAAATAAATTAAGAATAAAAACAAATTTCTGCTTGTGACTCTATGATGGTTCACCTTGATTGTCAACTTGGTGGGATTTAGAATTACCATGGAAACAAATCTCTGGGCATGTCTGTGAGAAATCACCTAGATTAAGTTAATTAAGGAGGGAACCCACCCCCAGAATATGGGCGGCACCACCCCAGGGGCTGGGGTCCTGGGACTTAATAAAGAGGAGAAAGTGAGCCGAGCACCGGCCTTCATCTCTCTCTGCTTCATGTGGATGTGTGACCAGCTGCCTCATGCTCCTGCCCCAGCAGACCTGCGACCAGAATAAGCCTTTCCTGCCCTAAGGTGCTTGCCAGGTATTTTGTCACAGTAACAAGTAACTAACACCAACTCCATCAAGTGAAGACTGTGTGATCTATGCCATAAATCTTTTGTCGTCGGCAGGTCAGTGGGGAATGGTCAATGCACCCAGAAGACCCAGTGGGCTTTCTAGAAAGATGCAAGGGTCAGAATGAAGGGCTAGGAAGAACGTGGACACGAGGAGCTGTGTAGATGCATCATACTGTGGGGCCTGGGGATCCTGGACTGACTTCAAGAATAAGCCCCATCTACACATTTCAGAGGTAGATACTCAGGTTGATACTGCCGACAAGTCTATGGGACTATGTGGCTTTGAGGGCCAGTTCTTCAGCAGGGACAGAGTCAACAGAACCAGCCCAAGGGTCATGTGACCCATGACTATACCCAAACACCCACCTCTATCCTGATTAACCCAGCCTCTCTTCTCAAAGACATGATTATAGGCTGGACCATGGATACACTACGTTCTACAGCTTATGTTATGAAGCTCAATTAAGCCTTAATAGGAGAACGTTCCCTCTCCCAAATACTGAAGCTTACTGATCTGTTTTGGAGACAGGGAAGCAGCCAGTGTTGGGCTTAGTTTTCCCCTGGCCCAGGCCCACTCACAGGCATGTGAAGCTGTACCCTACAACATAGGGGTCCCCAAATGCCCAAGTCTGCAGCTCACAACCCACTCACCAGGGGTATGAAGTGTAGTCGATCTCCCGGGATGGTGGCCGGCCAATGGGCGGCTGGGGACAGAGCACAGGGGTGTTAAGGTTCCTGGGGGCAGTCTCAGGGCAGGGGACAGAGTGAGCCTGTGAGAACCCCAACCCTGGGCCCAGCTGTTGGCACTGAGCCAGGGTTTCGTATGGACTTAGCCCAGGATCCTGGACTGTGATTTTCTCCAGAAACATGGCAGTGATTCCCTCTGAGCAGATAGGAAGGTCGGTGGGAGGTCACAAGAGATCATGAAGGTGCCTGCATTTTAGCTGTCTTTGGGGTAGGGGTCAATATGTTCCAGGCTGACCCCTAGCTGCCTTTGGACATGCATGCTGAGAACAGGCTTCAGACCCCACTGAGGAAAGATATACAACCTGGCCTTTGTTCCAGACACTAAAGCTCAGCTTCCACACCTTGTGGCTAAGAAGCTTCCTCCTCCCTGGGCTGTGACAGCCCTAGAGGATGCATAGCGAGCCCTTATCCAGACAGGGGGCCCCCGTCCATCCCAGCTTCTGTGTGGACGCCCACACCACCATCTGACAGGCCTGCAACAGAGGACAGAACTCCTGCCTGGCCCTGGACTCTGCCATCTAACGAGGATAGCCTGACACAACCACAAGTGTCCCTGTGAGAGGTCAGCCGGAGCCCTCCACACCCAGGCCCCTGTGCATCAGGGACAACACTCACCCTTCCATCCACTGGGCAGGGCTTCACGGATGAGCTGGGAAAATACCCCGACTTCCGGGTTTGAACCAGCCGCCCCTGGAAGAAGTGACCAAGAGATGTGAGGGGCCCAAAGGTCCCATAGCCACACAAATGTCCCTGCTGTGACCTCTGTTGGCTTTGTCACCACTTAGAGCAGAGAAGGGTGGGCATCCCCATGTTACAGGTAAGAAACACCGAGACGCAGCACACCAACAAAATATAAGGCCACTTAAGAATACCGACATCATGCCGGGTGTGGTGGCGCACGCCTTTAATCCCAGCACTCGGGAGGCAGAGGCAGGTGGATCTCTGTGAGTTCAAGGCCAGCCTGGTCTGCATAGCGCGTTCTAGGCCAGCTGGGGCTACAGGAAGACC